AAAAAAAAAAAAAAAAAAAAAAAAAATCATTGCCAGAAAATTAGCCGATTTGAATATTTTTGTGTGCTGAGGTTTGAGGAGACTCATTTGTCTCAAGCAATACATCTGTACAAGTTACAGAAGCCTCTTTCTATTCCTTACCCTTACCACTGCTGCTTCAGCAAACACTAACACATTTTTATGTGACATTTACGAAGTTTTTTTATAAAAAGATAAGTCTATTACAGAAACATTTGCATAGCAATTACTTCACAGTAGAGAAGTTAGCTAACTGATAGGAAGATTAGATCCATCAGCTGATGGAGAAAAGCAAATCTGATGACAAAATTAACAAACATCTAAAAATTTATAGAAAAACATGTTTTATCTCTCTCTAAATGAGAACTGAGTGTTTGCAGGAACTATTATTTGGCTATAGCCCTTCAGCAGTCTTGCATTCACCTTATCTGTTTGCACAAAGGTATCCTCTCTCCCTACAAAACCTGGGTGACGTAAAGCTTCTAGTCTTCCAAGGAAAAGAGTAATTGCTCCTCTCTTTTCTTCACAAAGAAAACCTGTAAACTTTAAGAACTAGAAGAAGAAACATGAGGTGAAAGTTACAGAGTTGATAGCTATCAAGAAAAGAAGAGAAAAAATTCCATGGAGTCTAGAGCACTAAGTTTCCACATCTACTAAATGAGATAATAATTGTACTCAATAAATGCTATCTATTCAGGTATTCATATAGTATTGTGTTACTAGGAGCAGACAATGAGACAAGGTTGTAAAGCCTCTAGACATAATGTTGAGCTCATAGTGTCCAATGGGGTTTAATAAATGGTAGGTATTACTATTCTGAAGAAAGAAACATCTAGAAATGGGGTCAAGGAAGATTTTTTTTTTTCCCCTGTAGACCTGAGGTACTGTGAAGTAAAAAAACACTAATATTGAGCTTCAAGCTAAATTAAATATTGTGAAACTTATGACTACACTAAAAACAATTGATTTGCATTCATTAAGTGTGTAAAAGTGGTAGTAAGTGTAAGTTATCTCAATATAGCGGTTAAAAATGTTGTGAGCTAGAGGGCATGGTGGTACATGCCTGTAATTTTAGCATTCTGAGCAGCCAAGGCTGGAGAACTGCAAGGTCAAGCCCAGCCTGGGTGACTTACCAACTTAATGACAAGCTGCCTCAAAATAAAAAAGATCTAGAGATGTAGCACAGTGGGAAGGCCCTGGGTTCAAACCCTGGGACTGCAAAACAAACAAACAAATACTGTGAGCTAAATTTTTACCTCTGCTTTCTTATCATGAGCATAAAGCATAGAACAGAGAACCTGAATGTATTTCCATCAAGGAAAACATAGCTGAAAAGGATAAAATAAATGGAGTAGGGCAAGAAAGAGAATTTTTTTTACCTTGCTACTAGATCTCTTACTTCTCCCAGGAAAGAAGTTTTATCTTATTTATGTTTATAGAAATTCTGTGGGATAAGGTAAAGGAAACTCTTTTTTTTTTTAATGCCCGTCTTGGTTAGTATATGGTCCCTTAGATTGCACAAATGAACCCAAGTGTGGAGGCGCAAGCCTATTATCCCAGCATTCAGGAGGCTGAGGCAGAAAGACTGCCAGGAGTTAGAAGCCAACTTGAGTCATATATTAAGTTCAAGGCCTACCTGAACTACATAATGAGACCCTATCTCAAAAAAAAAGCTCCCTCTTAGATTGTACAAGTAAAAATTCAGAGATACTTCTGTCAGTGCCATTTTGACCCTGAATAAAGTCCCTATCAGATAAATGACTAAAGCTTTTATGAATCAATAATCAGCATTAGATCAATTTTCCTTCAATTACTTTCCTTTCAAATGCGAACTACTCTCACATCATAGCCTAAAAATAAACATTTTAAAAATCTGACTCGAACTAAGGGAATAAAGACCAAGTTAAAACAGTAAAAGTAGAAATTGTTACCTACAAGTGATTCACATCATGAAGATTTTCCCAAACTTCCCAAATGAAAGCTGAAAGATGTTCAGAGTTCTCCAGCGTGGGTAACAACTTTAAAATTGTAACCTGAAGCATTTAGCTTCATAGGGTACCATTTTTTTTTCTCACGATTAATTTCAGTCTAGTATACACATTGTCACTTACTTGTTAGGTTATGTTTCTTGGTTTTCAATTATGGTAATGTCGTTACTACTATCCTACACCATAGACAATAACCCTGGGTTCCTATTGCAAAGATGACCCACACTGTCCTCAGCCCCATAAAATGGGCTAAGTGGCTCAACACTATAGAATATGGAGAGCAAGAAACAAGAGTCATGATTTTCCCAACAGGACCATACTACTTGTAATATGTCACCAAAATGCCAATATAGTCAGTAAATAAAACTATGAATGCCTCAAATTCTATAAATCACCCCACACTACCCTGAGAAATAAGGGAAAAGGGAGAAATGTATCATTTTGGGCCTTCATTTTGTTTTATCTTTCTAAAATTTAATAAATATTGGGCTTTCCTGAATAGAGATCTAAAAGTAATTTATCTGAGTAAAAAATGGCACAAAATCAACACATTTATAATAAAGTATTGTATGACATAAAGTAAATAGTCCAAACATTTTTTAAATGAGCTGGACTTGGTAGCACACACCTGTAATGCCAGCTACTCAGGAGGTCCAGACATATGACCGACTACTCATGAACACTCATAGTGATTCTGATACACATCTCCTCACCCCACTTGAGGAAACACTGCTCCCTACAAAGACAATGAAATACATGTGCTTTGTCTTAAAATAATAATGTGGATATATTTTTTGAAATTTTTTCAGAAAGCTAATTATATGTGTTTTTAATAACAATTTCTCCTCTTTTTATCTTTCTTTTGAAAACCATTATTGAACTGCCTGACTGGACATATGTACAAAATAAAATGCAGGAACAAGGAGCACTTAACAAGCCTTAGTTTATTCAAAGGAAACTTAACTACCAGTGTGTTTTTTTCTCAGTCCCTCATCTCAGTGAACCCACCAAACCTAAGAGTAAAGACATTTTCAAAATATTATTTAAAAAGATCCTAGTCCCAATAAAAGGACTAAAGCAATATTGATTCAGATTACTTCATTGGAAATTAAG